CGCAAACCAACATAAATATTTTTTTTCATCGTGATTTCTGAATATATGTTCATGTAACGAGTTTGGAATAACGTTTCTTCACTTGATAAAATAGTCAGAACCCAGACACTTTAAAATATATTAAATATGCATACTAGGCGTTTGATTTTGATCCGCTTGTTCATCAAACGATGAATAGAAATGAGTGGTAGCAAGCTATTTATGAGATACTCATATTACAACATGCATATATATATATATATATATATATATATATATATATATATATATGAGGAAAATACAATCTTGAAGTGAACAGTCGCGATCTATATCAGTGGACCATTTGTTGCAGGCGGACTTATAGTCTTTAAGGCGTTATAAGGAGTATCCCACTGTCAGTCTTTTGATGGATTAGGGTTAGGCGCTTTTTCTAAAACTGTGCACAGTGACTGACGCTTTTAAATAAACTTTAAGAAATAATTAATGATGCCGAGCCACACGGTTTGTTGTTGGTTTCGTTTATATCTATGGGCGAGATGCAAGTTAGCAAGAAATAAAGCCCGAGTACATGGTGCATGTTTAACCAAGCTGTAATGAGGCCAGAGTATGTTCTGTATTGGTCAGCATGTTTTTTGGCCTCACGTGGTCTACTTTATTAATGGATTTGGATCTATTGCAATAACCGTAGGTTGCGAATGATCTGTGTTTTTATACGGCCTCGGCACGATGAAAATAAGCGTGATGGAGATTTTTAGTCAACGTACAGACACACAATAGGAGGAAAATGTTTAACTGCTGGGGTGATTATATTATTCGCGATGGCGTTCAATATTTGCGTAAGAGAATGAAGAGCAGTGTATTGAGTGAGACAGATGAAAATAAATGTAAAACATTACCGGTTAACTTAACGTGTCGGAAATATACTAATATTAAGGCAAATATCATCTGGACAAGGCGTTTTCCGCTAATAGGCTTTGTCGCGTTCCAGTCATAAACACGACGAGTATAAATGGAAAAATTATGTGGAAAGAAGCTGAAAGCTTCAAAGCCTGTAGGGCTTCCCTAATATTCTTTCTCAACACGACCATTAGATGGTAGGGGAGTACACATTATTTTGAGAAAATAAGTAGCTAAACAAAGCAGATTTGTGAATCTACCAATCAAACAAAACTAACAATATCCTCGATATCAGTTGTGCTTTATGACAACTGGTTATTGTCTAATATGATTAGGTCATTTCCAACTTGTTACGTGTACAAAACTGCACCTTCATAGTATTTTGGTAACATCACTACTACGAGTTATGAAACCGTAACCTGTGTTTTGACAATGTATAAAAATGTTCGAATTGATACATAATTAACATGGCTGCAATCCACAAGAAATGCAAAGAACATGTCTATATCCTGACTGCGACTCTAGTATAGGAACATCAAATACGGTAGTTATGTTTGAAATAGCAATTTCTGTAACAGTAAAACAATATGACAGTAATCCATACCAATAACAAAAGTTTGCGATTCATTTGAAAACTAGATTCTAGTACTTGACCTTTTGAATGAGGAAAAACAATGACCTATGAACTGACCTTCATTGTCTATCATCTCTCCGTTATTTCCCTCTTTATATTATCACATGGAAAGTCCAGACATTAAGGCCTAATGGATTAGTCTAGTAGATGCGAAAATGAAGTGATACATCATGGCGGTTCTCAGATTAAGCGAAATTGATAGAATCCAAGCTAGACAGAACGGAATAAATTGGGAAAATATACTGTTGTACTCAGATTATGAAGAGGAAAATGCTCTGTAAACACAAGAAGTTGCACTGATACTGTCCAAAAAGCGCAAAAGTCACTTGTAGAATGGGATTCTCATGGATGCAAGATAATCAAAGCATCCCCCGAAACAAAGGAGAGGACCACAAAGAATGTTAACCAGTGCAATACACTCGCCAATAATAGAGATGAGCATAAAGAAGATCAGTTTCCTGATAGGATGCAGTCAATCTTATAACAGTGCTTGAAGTACTGGAATAACTTGATTGGAGATCTAAACGTGAGAGTCGGAATGGACAACACCTGGTACGAATATATAATGTGACTATATAAAATGACTGGGAGAAAGGAAATGGAATGGTAAAAGAATTGCAAATCCATTAGCATTCAATAAAATGATCATAAACAGCAAAATATACCACTACAAATGAATACACAAAGCTACATCGTTACAATTTGATCACAATACAGAGAACGAAATTGATTGTAATTGAATCACCCAAGAGGCGGTGGACTGGAAACATGGAAACCTCATCAAGACACCAAAAACGGAGATCTGAGCAGATATGAAAACTACAGGGTAATTACACCACTATCAGTATCAGGAAAGGCTTTCAACAGTGGAAGATTCAGTAGATGCCCAACTTCAAAACCAACAGTCTGGGTCCCGTGAGAATCGGTCGTGCACAGACCAAATCGCAACAATATGGATCATTGTTGAGCAACCAAGTGAATGAAGTTTGTCCGTATACATCATCCTGATCGATTATGCATTCAACAGTGTGGATAGGAGAAATTCATGGAAACATCTTCGACACTATGGTGTGCCTGAGAAGATCATCAATATCATACAGATTTCACACGACGGACTACACTTCAAGGTCGTGCGCGGAGGAGAACTCACAGATCCATTGCCACAAAACATCAGTGTCTGACAAGACTGTTTACCCTCTTCCTTTCTCTTTCTTTTGTTGGTCGACTGGGTTACAAAGAATATACCTCAGAGGAAACATGGAATACAATAAAAAGCTTGAATGATTTGAACTTCGCGGATGACCTGACCCTTCTATTCCATACACATCAAAAACGACAGATAAAGAAAGTCAGTGTAGCATTAGTCTCTGCAGCAGTAGGCCTCAACATACACAAGCGAAAATCAAGATCCTCAAATACAACACGGAGAACCATCAACTGAATCACAACTGATGGAGAAACTCTGGAAACTTTTAAGTAGGCAAAATCGTCGATGAACGTGGAAGATCTGAAGTAGATGTTGCGATATTTACTGCTGCAAACCCGTCCACTTAGTATTATTAACGCGTTTAAGAAAAGGTTCCATTGCAGATGCAGGATGACAAAATGTTGGTGAATAAAAATCTATGGAACTCAGGTCGTAATATTCGGTACAACGGATGACGTGTCATATGGATTGTGAGTGAAAAAGATGAGCTATTGATACTAGGAAAACTACGCTGTATTGACGGCCTTGCTTATGCTACTTAAAACCACGATGAAGCCCCGTGTATCTTGGGCAGAATTTAAAGTCAAGTGATAGAAAACCTCATTGTTATTAAAAAGAAAGCTAATGCCGGCAATATTTGCTCATTAAAATATTTGTGATCAACAGAAATCTCTTTCGTGCAGCTAGAAGGTGGATCTAAAATGGTGCTTGGGCTGAATTCCAGAGCATACATCTTCCTAAGGCATAATGTATGGCAAAGTACATGACGTGTTTCAATACGTAGTCTGGATTGTTATGCGATGTCAGATTCTTTTCTTCTCTGGTCCTTATTTCTACTTCTAATTCTAGGTTTCATATTGTTATGACTTTATGGCCCGCTAGTTATAACGTAATCTATTCGCTCTTATACTGTACTAAACCAATGACGTCTGACCTGTCTGATCAGCCTAACGCCTTATTGGTCCGTTGCTCGCCTAGCCCGTTCAGCTGAGTCCAGAATGCCAATAACAGCCTCCACTATGTGAATCATTTATTTCAGACACACTCCGTATATATACCAAACAAACAGACCGCAATGCAGCATAAAATAGGAAATAACATTCATGCACAATAAAGCCAAAACGTGAATGTGAACGTGGGAGGCAGTAGTCAATAAACTGAACATAGCTTAAGAACAGTAAATTGTACAATAATAATATAAAGGTCAAAATGAAGCTTATAAAAATGGGAATGTAGATATACACAATCTGGTTACTGAGTATTTATACCATAAGAATATATAACTAATATTACCCCATTATTAGGTCTCAGAAGTTACTCGTAATTTAATATTCACTAGGATATAGCACATATGATTGCAAACGGAAGAGTAACATATATCACATGATAGCTGACGTCAGTTTGCGACGAAAGCCTTCAACAGCTTGTAAAATCACCCCAGAACTTCAGCCCGAACCCTAATACTCAAACGTTTTGCATTATCTCTGAAGTTGGTAGATGAAAACTTCATGGGACTATAACCATAGCTAAAAACACTACTTCGATACTCAACCTGCGAAACGTAGTGGTTTTGTCTTACTACAAAGAATAATTCGACATATGAGTTGACTATTGAGATCGAAGCTATCATTCCACCGCTATAATATGGCCTCCTGCTGTTAACTCGATCTAACTAGGTGCTGTTTCCTGAATGGCAGAAAGGACCCTCAAGGTCACCAGTATGTTATGATGCATTCTCTAGGAGTCATACGGCCTATAAAAAAACGTGTTGTCCATTTTTCGTCGATGACATCCAAGTAACTGGTATAGCAGCTTTGTTGCATATTGAATTCTATTGGAAGTACAAAGTAAGACTTACTACTGAGTTATGTTCTGAACAAATAATTTAAGCGATGTATCACATTATTTCTTTCAACGTGGCAGGATCACTAATGTGGGATGTGTTGTTCTAGAAATAACTGATTAATCAACTATAATATACTTCAGTACACTGATGTGTTTAGTGTACCAAAAATTCACAGTTGTGGGATATTGGTGTACGAACATCACCGAATAACAAAGCTAGGATTATCTCTTCCAGGACATACCACGAGAAGGCAGAGCGGGACTTCCCTGGGAGAGGCTGTATACACATAGTCAAGTAAAGGCAGTTGAAGACAGAGAACTGATTCTCCTCATCCTCGGCCGTACCAAGGCATTTGATGACCCTATCATTCTTATCAATCAAAACTTCCTCCCATAGTATTATAATCAATGGAAAATAATAAAGATAACCACAGTGTCATTCAAATAGATAACAACATATATATATTTACAAAGAAAAGTGAAAACACTTTCGTGATATTAAAATCTCGACAGTAATTGTTCTTTCTTTTTTATAGCTATTTTAATGCTTCCACATTGATGAATTATAAAGTAAAATCTAGTTCGTTTGTAAGCTCTACAAACAAAATGTAACTTCCTTATACATCAAATGATGTGTATAGCAAAGGAAATAATAATTGGAATTAGCTAAATAAATAAACATGATACACATGTTTAGAGAATAATAATGATAATAATAATAATAAAGGAAATTGAAGGCAAATTGTAAACAAAGACAATAATAAATCATTACATAATATCAAGTTCTAAAATAGATGTCACAATTTGGAGCAGTAGTTGATAGATTACTGTAATTTTGTAATTGAGTAGTATGCATTAATTCAGTTCTATCATAATTGTAAGGATTCCATAAAGTGGTATTTGGACATATTTGTTGATATGTAAATTTATTATTTATATTACTAGTGGTAGGATATAAACTATGAGCAGTTTTATATATACTATGGCATGGATTCGATCGACCATATTGATTATTGTATGTATGAGCTGTTCCATAACTGCGTACATGCATAGAATCAACTACTGGAATTTCGATAGCCCCAGGTATATTGTCGTCAAGATCATCTTTCACTTCAAAACCGATTTCAAGTGAATTTTCACTTTGAATTGATGAACTAGCATTGGAAAGACGATCCAAACTTTCAGGTAACTGTAAAAATAATATTTCAAAAAAGAATAGACTAAGTACTCGTGCAAGAGTCATTTTTAAAAATGTCTATTTAAATATTTACTGAAACTATCTAAACTACTTATAAGTAGTAGCATAAAGTTGTGAAGACTATTGAATTTTACTGATAATACAAACAGTTCCAAGTATAAATTAGCATCCGAAAATACTCTTACACACTAAATAGATAAACTTTGATGGCAGAAATTATTCAATTCATTTAGTATATAACGAGTTAATATGAGAATTTCGACGTATTGATGGAATATATTAACTGCATTATCAACTTCAAATTAGATGTCACCGCTATCGAGTTTGGATAGAATATATATATATATATATATATATATATATATATATATATATATATATATATATATAGTATTTTCGTAGTTCAACTCACGGACTGATCTTAGCTAAGCCACCATTGAAAACCTTGAAGTACCAGATAGACATTTCGTCCTAATATGGAACTATCGGGCAGTGTGCATCAACAATCCTGCACGTGACACTTTGACCCTTGACCTTCACTCTCGAGCGCGAATGCTCCGTATGTTCCGAATGTTCCGTACTAGGACAAAGTGTTCGTCTAATAATTTAAGGTTATTAATGGTGGACTAGCTAAAATCAGTTCGTGATTTCAACTGTGAAGAAATATATATGATACGGCCCCAAGTTCATAGACCTGATTTTTGACGAGGTCAAAGAACCAATTGACTAAAACGGTCTCATACTAAAACAACATACCTGTTAAGCGCTTCCCTGTTTTTAAAAATACTTGGTGTAAAGTAACTTTGGAATGAATACAGTTCGCGAAATTCCTACGGTAAAGTAGAACATTATTACCTAGATATTGTGTAGAAAACTAACCTTAATCCAGGTTAAAAACTATTTCAGTAAAAATACGTGTAATAATATAATAAATAGAAATTTGTCTGTCAAAAACGACTTGACCTGTGTTGAATCGACGATGAATACGTCAGATTCATTTGGAGATGGTTTGGAAGAACTCTTTTCAATTACATTGTCTGTATGGATGAAACGAAAAGTAAAAACATAAATCAGTTAATCGTTTTTTTTATTTCAAAGAAAAACATTATTAGTATTAATAGAAGTAGTGTACAGAGCCAAGATTAGGGCCAGGAAATATGTACGCAACGAAATATACATTATAGGCATAAACGAATGGTGGCTAGTAGTGGAATCCAACACGCGAATTTTGTCCCATTTGGGACTCATCAGCCAGATGTACCTGCATCCTAGAGTTGATGTTCACTCAGGGACCCGAACTCTGGGATGCAGGTACATCCAGTTGATGAATTTTAAATAGGATGAAGTTCGTGTCTTGGATCGAGGCAATCCTCACACGATACACATATACCTATAAGAGACTGACCAATTGCAGTCCTAAACATAAATGGAAGGATTCAAACAAACAATACCAAATGAAACAAATTATGCACTTTAAATAATGATAGAAACGTAAAACTGTTATATTCAATTCCAATCAACATATGTGCCATGAACACAAACTAAGAATAGACTAAGTAGATTACAATATTCATTAATGGCTTTCCAAAAATAATTTAAGGTCTGTACATCGTCAACATTATAATCGTAATATATGTAATATGAACAATTTGATTATGGTTATCAGTATATGAAGGGAAATGCAAACGTTCTACGATAGGAATTAGATGTACTGATAATAGTAAATGTATTCATATATATACGCTTCATTAGCTACAATTATCACATTTATGTTGCATAACCTTTCCGAAAAAAATATATTAATGAATATGAACTGGCAACTCAACAAGGTTAATTCAAGTTGGTAGACTGCATGATTGATATGAATTTAAAGTAACTGAATATGAAGAAGAAGAAGAAAACCGAAGTCATTGTATGACTCTAACTAATGAATTTCAGATTATTAACTCACAACTTAAATAACTAGAATGTATAGTTTATACTACGAACTGGCTACTGAAGTTCATTTGTGTTAGGTATGAGGTAGTTAGTCACGAATGGCTTTGGGAAATGTTTTTACATTATCATGAATCAATCGAAGTCAAGCATGTAAACCGTTTGATCCTGAATTACTAGTCTGAATGTTAAGTGCTTGCTACAAACTTGAAGATTGCGGGTTTGATCCCCGTTGATGATTCAATGTAAATTCAACAATCTTCAAGAAAATGTTTACAGTAATAACTGAGAATAATTACAACAATCAATATAGATCAGTAATCAAATTACAATCCTATGTTACTTCAAATTGAGCCGTACTTTAGATGTAAAGTCTAACATAGGTACTAACTAGCTAAATCGCTGACAAGAACAAAACTTGATAGCTAGTTTTCAATTCCATTTGATAGGGAGCGGACTCACAAAGCCCATATCATGTAACCGTCCATGTTTTAAATAACATCTAATCATGATTACTTTTCTTATTAATAATCAGCATATTTTTGTAAAGCGTTTGCTTTTTATGTTAAAGGTAACTTGTCCAGTAAGAGTAAGTAAACGACTAGGCAAATATGCCGTAATGAAACGACATACAATCAACTGTTTTCATTTTGACAACAAATATTCATGGTAAATGATTATCCATCTTGATTCATCAACAGAAACTTACCACCCAAAACTACGGGCTAAAAGACCGTTCAAAAGAAAGCTACTTTAATGAATATCGAATTCAAAGGCTACAGAAATCTTGAATACATAAGCTACAAAATACCTGATAAAAAATTTCTACTCAACTAAACTTCATATTGTCTTCTTAAGCAGGTCTACTATTCACATATATGTTAGGGCCATATCGATGTGAATCTATAAGTTTATTTGTTCTTGAGGGATAAGTTATATAGCCTGAACAAAGCGAACACTTTCTAAAGGTATTTCAGAACATTCCCCAGCATAGCTTTTAAAAGGTGAATGAAAATTGGTGTGTGTAAACGTAACTTTTATAACCGACTGATTTGTTCTGTTGTTTGATATCCACTAATTTGGTGGTATCAAGTCATTATTAAATCAATTTAAGTGAGTAAATGAGATTAACAATTCAGAAAACTAATCATTTGTTCACAACTACTCACAAATACATGTACACTTTATGTATCTAATTCATAATATTCAAGCAACTCGAATTGAAATAAAAAGCTGAGAGTCATCAAAAGAAAATTGAGAGCTTTATCCAATACAGCCTTAAGATATTCAGCCATAACTCTGAAAAAGATCATAATTTTGCATTATTTACAAAGTAAATAGATCTGTCAATGTAAAATGAATTGGATGAGGTTAGACATTAACACTGTTGGATGCCAGTCGGTTCAGTGGTCTAGAGGTTGGGGGTTCGTGCGCGAGACTAAAGGCCATGAGTTTGAACCCCGCGAGCGGGACCGTGGAAGCGCACTGCTGAGGAGTCCCACAATAGGACGAAACGGCCGTACAGTGCTTCCAGGTTTTCAATGGTGGTACAACATCAATCGTTTCATGATCTCGATCATAAAATGAATGAATTTCGACATCTTGCAAGAAATAATGTAGCAAAACACTAGAGTACATTATGCAATATTATATTAAATAATACGATAAGACGAAGGTTATCAGAATTATATGATATATTTATGCAATACATCTCAAACAATCGGATCATACATATACTTGTTAAATACACTTATATATGAGAAATTAAATGGTAAGTGGAAACAAAGATGATAACAATAAAATACACAATATGAAAACTATAATGGATAATAAGTCAGTATTGCCAGGGTAGGGTTGAGGCTAAGAATAAATTGTTTTAGAACACATAAAACGAATTTCAGTTAAAATGTAATCTACTTACTAAGGGAACTCAAAATAAATCGAAAAAACATATTTCTTTTACAATACGAAGAAGAGATGAATAATCAACTCCCTTTTCTAGACATAGTGATTGGTAGAAGAGATGATGGCTCCACGTTGTGAATATAGAAAGCCGACATGGACAGGCTAATATCTTAGTTTTTATAGCCACTGTTCAACTCAGTACAAACGTGGATTATTAAAAGGCTTATTTAATAGGATCAGTCGTATTTGTACTAGAGATACTATTGAGGGAGACGTGAGGCTCTGAACTGAAACATTGATGAATAACGGTCATTTATTGAAGTTTATGAGCCGTTGGGAAAACATTAATATGATGAAACCCAAAAAAACGAGTCTATAATATCTTACCATTCAGAGGTGTCTCAAATAGTCTCATGTTCAAATGAATACTTTAACTATCAACAGGACGTTCTATGTATCCCAACTAGTCATTATCGAAAAGTCAAGGTTTATGTTTCACTGAAAATTTAAACAGAGTGTAAGCGATATTGTCACATCCCCTTTTGTCTATCAATTTATGTATATGTGTAAAAACACGTACATAGGAAGAAGCAATGGCGAGCATCGAATAAGGGTAGCCAAACACATACCTAAATGGCTGCAAAAAGAAATGAATTCCAACAGTCAAATAAGAACACAGGATAGGCAAATATCCTTCACAATTGCGAAAAATTTGATTGAGACTGATCATACTGTTTATATCAAGTCAGCCTTTGTAATTTTGTACAAAATTTTAAAAGGTGTATATTAAGGTTTTTTTAAGCCTTGACTATACGAAAACTGAAATTCCTTTTATGTCGACCAGTCAGTTACAACATAGGACCAGGCACATATATGCATTCGGTCAACTTGCCACACCTTATTAGCAAAACAAGATGAGCTTCAAATTTATAGAACTATTTATTCTTAACCTTAACCCTACCCTGGTAATACTGACTTATTATCCACTATAGTTTTCATATTGTGTATTTTATTGTTATCATCTTTGTTTCCACTTACCATTTAATTTCTCATATATAAGTGTACTTAACAAGTATACGTATGATTAGATTGTTTGAGATGTATTGCATAAATATATCATATAATTCTGATAACTTTCATCTTCTCATCGAATCATCCAAATATATCAAAGGGACTAATTGTTTTAAATAGAATATTAAACTAACCTGATATAAGGACACCATTGATCGGAACAGTTACAAACGGTATACTATCTAGATCATTTCCACAAACATCAACACTACCACAACCATCGTTATCGTCATCAGTATTATTATTCTTATCATTATTACTCAATATTGTATTATCTTGTTGTTTATCCATATGTTTTGAATTAGATTGTATTGACTCTGAATCAGTTAGGCTACCATGATTCTTATTGTGTTCAATAACACTGAGAATTGAAGAAGTATCACTGATACCATGTATACTAGGATTAATATGATCATCTTTAATAGTAGCTACTACTACAGTAGTACGAGTAGTAGTTGGATTATTTTCATTATTATCAATATCAACATCATATTCCTTGTCATTTTGTATAGTTTTATCATATTCATTATTAAATAGAAATTCTGACTCTTCAGTTGAATTCAAGTGAGAATTTAAAGCAGTATGAAGAATTTGTAAATCTTCCTTGGTTTAGAAAAAATAGTAAAAAATTTAAAAAAATGACACAATTTACATGTAGATTCATGTATCTAATGCTTCAAATTGTATACTTTGTATGTTTCATTCAAGACTATACATAATAGTAGGATGGAAGAAAGCTAGAGGCGGTCAAACCAAGACATGATATCAGTCCATAAAGTCATTGAACATTGGACTGAGCCATGTTGATGAGTGTAGACTACCTGGTTGGGGTCCACGTGATTGTCGTAACCAACGGTTAGAGACTTCGAATGACATGGTTCAAAAATCGTTTGCAATGGTGCAGGTGTATCCATTCTTTGTCTTCCTGCAAATTCTGAACTCCTGAATTCCTCATAACTAGTTTTTGTGTTTTTATTTCACTAATTTATAATTTCTTGAATTGCATCTTTGACATTTTATCTTTTAAGTTAATATGCATACAGTTGCTAATTCTACCATTCTGGGATTTGACCTGAGAATTTCAAGTCTCTACGTTAACGAGTTATGGCTACTTGAACTGATGTAGCCATTCATATAGTTCAATATTCCTTCTAATTATCTAATTGTGAATAAACCAGTCATCTTAATGTCAAATAACTCCAATAAATATAGGAAGTAGAAAGTCATGTTCATCGATATATCATTGATTTCGATAATGTAATTAGAAGACGAAGATTATCAGAACTATGTGATATATTAGCGCAATACATTTCGAACAATCTGATCACACATATACTTGTTAAGAACATTTATATATAAAAATAAAAGGTCAACTAGACAGGAAACGGGGTAAGACGAGATAAGGATAATGATAAGAGTAATAATGTGAACACAATTCTTAACCTAATCACTCTGGATAATAAGTCAATATTAACAGGGTAGGCTTGAGGTAAGAACAAACTGTTTTTGAACACACAAAGGGGGTTTGAATTTTCGTATGGCTAAGGCTTCAATAAACACAATACCACAAAAGCTGAGTTTAGATCAATCTTGTGATCTGTTTCAATTATATGTTTAGCAATTGAGGATGATAGTGACTAATTGTTTCATATATCATTGAAATAAATCGTAGAATTAACCTTTAAAAATGTCATATAGAAATCCTGAAGGATAAATAATTAGGTTTAGAAAAGTTTTGCCTATACACAAATTTAGACTCATCCCTTATTTGTACAAAAACAGTTTATCATGAGCCGGAATTAATTGTCCCGATGTAATCTTGGTAGGTGTAGAATACCCGGTTGGGATCCGCGAGACGATAGCAACCGAAGGTTACAGACCTCCAGAAGAATCTTTCCACGGTGTGGGCAACCGGGAAGTGATAACCGCCCTCATACCTCTAACACCACTCTAGACTGACTAATTTTACACCCCTAAAGTGATATGATAATTTCATATTCTTTTTCATATTCAATCAATTTTCTCTTCTTTTTCTTCTTCTTTATTTACAATTATCACCTTGTGTTTATTAGAAATTTTTTTTATTTCATTATCTTTTATAAATTTTCCTAAAAAAAAACAGAATGACTTAACAGTTAGTAGTGTGATTGATCAAAAGTATGAGTGATATCATAAATAGATCATATGTTTGTGAAACCATAACTCTATCTCTCTTTTGATTGTCCTATTGAAATTTTATGCTGAACAAGAAGAAAAAACAAGCACAAACACAAACCAAAAAGAAAGAAAAGAATGAAAGGAAGAATAAATATTATCAATGTATACAAGTATTTGTCAATATTTAAATGAATAGTTTGACAGGAATTGGGAACCAAATATTAGAAGAGAATATTATGGAAGAAAACTATGATCATCCCGTGCCGTGAAAAAAAAGTATCGAAAGAAATGGTGAGGAATATATAATATATAAGAGTGTATTTTCGGCCTAGTGATAGTATAGGATCAGCATTAATGAAAGTTAAGGAGAAATTTTCAAAGAAGAAAACAAACAATAGAATGTTGTCTATGAGATCAATTGTTACGATTGAAGTGAAGCTTATTCGGGATAATTGAATGTGAGGTCGAAAGAACACAATCAGTGTTTGAAATATATTTCTAAACCTCGGATGATTTATGGAAACTTGAGAATAGGTCGGCGATAAAGTTATACGCATTGGAAACAGGACACAAGAATAAATTTGAAGAGATTAAAATAATTCAGAAAGAATTTACCATGAATACAGAAGGATTGGCAGCAGAAGCGCCGTATATATGGGCTAATAACAAAAAAACTCAACAGGAAAGATGGTATTCAACTAGCTACCACATGGCAAATGTTCATTAACAAGTAATCAAACCCCATCTCTATCCAACCTATTTATTTCACATATTTGGTGAAGACGCTGATAAAATGCAGAGTCTTTTGGTAGCACTGAGCAACAATTGCAGAATGTTTGAAATGCGCTTCTCTCCCTCTAAATCCAAGTTGTTGCTTCAGGACTGGTCTGCGTCAACACCTGAACTAAGGATAGGGAGTGAAGTAGTCGAACGCGTTGACAACTTCACTTATCTTGGAAATCTGATCAGACCTAATGGGTTGGTGTCTGACGAAATCTCAGCATGGATTCGAAAAGCTCGTTTGGCTTTTGCCAACTTACATCACCGATGGCGAAGACGAAATATCCGTCCATCAACTAAAGAACGAATATACTATGCAGCAGTTTGTTCTGTTTTACTTTACGGCTGTGAAACATGGCCATTAAGAGTAGAAGACACTCGTAAGCTAGTAGTATATGACCACAGATGCCTCAGAAATATTGCTGGCGTCTGCTAGGATCACCGGGTAAGTAATAGTGAGGTTAGACGCAGGGTATTAGGGAATGATGGTAAATCAGTTGATGAGGTTATGAATCTTCATCGACTGAGATGGTTGGGCCACGTGTTACGTATGCCTGAACACCGATTACCACGACGTGCAATGCTATCCGGTATTGGAAATGGTTGGAAGAAAGTTAGGGGCGGCCAAACCAAAACGTGGCATCAGTGCTTGAAGTCACTAACTTCTAGTCTGAGCCATGTTGGTAGATGCAGACTACTTGGTTGGTGTCCGCGTGACCATCGCAACCAATGATTGGAGACTCTTGATGAAATGGTTCAGAATCGATCACAATGACGTAGGTGTATACACTCTCTGTCTTTCTTTAAACGAAGAGATTAAAACCACTTTATATCTTTCTTTCTACGAACTAATTATTTCTTCCTGTACTATATCCATGTACAGAAACGTTCTTTTTATATATCATTACAATTGAAGTAACTGCTTCTATGAATTCATTGTTCATCTTGTTGTGCTAATAAGGTATGGCAACTTCGACCGATGAACATACGTGCCTGATCCTACGTTGTAGCTGACTGACTGACTGACCACATACAAATAAACGTTTCAAAAGAAAATTGAAACAAATCAACACTAAATATTCACTATTAATTATTCGAACTTACACACACGCACACACACAAACACATAATCACTCATTCATTTCAATTGACATTGTGAACTTTTCACATGATTCACATTTAACTGACTTATATTATGCAAAGAATTAAAGCCAATTCATTTCTCATACGATTGCATACTCACTTAGTGTCTAAATTTGTTTATTTAACATGGACCATTTTAATTTCGATTATTTATCCTGAAGAAATCTAGACAAGTTAACTGGAAGAAACATTTGATAATCATTATTAATTCTTATATAATAAAGTAAAAGAGACAAAAAGAAATACATACTTCAAGATATGGCCATTCACCGTAAATTGAATTCAATCGTTCACGTTCTGATGCTGATGTTATAGTTAAATACATTATGGAATTCAATGGATGTTTAGAAGAATCTAATAATTCAGTCTGTTGTTGTTCTCGATTAGTGTTATTTGTTTGATTTTGTTCATTAACTAATTTTTCATTAGTTTCACTATCAAATTCTATTAATTGTTTTTGTAAAGGTTCAACTGGATGTGCACCATATCGTAAACTTCTTAAAGCTCCAATAGCTGAATAATAATCTAATGAATAAACAGTCATTAAATAAGCTGTAACAACAGCTACATTAGCTGATAAACCTGAATCACTAATTAAAAAAGAAATATAAAAGAAAAAATTTCAAAAAACAATTGTTTAATAAACAATCAATACAAAAATGAATTACAATTTCAACCCATTGCACAAGTTAGTGGCTATATGAACTCAGTAGCTAAGTGGAGAATGCGATGGCATTTGAAGCGAACACTATTGAGTTCAAGTCACGGAATGAACATGAACCCTTGGATTTAGGCACATTCAACCGATGAGCCCCAAAATAGAACGAAACGCACGTCATGGATTCCATTGCTAGCCACAATTTATCTTTGCTTATAGTGTTTAATAGTTTTTATATAATATTGGTTAAGCAACTGTTAAAAGTCAGAAAGCATTGGATAGTTATTTTATCCTAGTATAAAACTATTTCGTAGTGCCTATCCATGACTGCATATAGGATTGAACTCAAGTATTGAAAGATAATTGACGATAATCTCGTATTGATAAACTAAACATACAAACTATTGAAAGCTTGACCGGATGTTTGAAAGTTAAGCATCCACCATGAGACCTAAAGATAACTGGTATTAACCCAACTGGAGTCGAGATTGTGTACACCCGAGAATTCGTGAACTCGGATGAGACAGCTGTCCAGTACTATCTAAATTTTGACGACTGTCAAACTAATGTTAGTCTATGATGTAACCTATGAAATTTAGCAATCTCCACAAACTTCCTATAGTAGCAAATTTATTATATCATTCTGCTATTCAGGCGCATCAACTAGACAGTGACACCAGTCATAACATCCCAATTCTCAGTAATAACCAATTATCAAATATTGACAGATGTTTTTCCCACGATTATGTAAATTACTGTATAAATATATTGAGTGTTGTTTGTTAATTTCATTGAGTTTACTTGAAGTAAAGAATTATTTTATAAAGTCTAATTTTCGTTTTTATTGCTTATGTTCATTTTTTATGTAATCACTGAAGTGTCATTGCTTTGTATGAGTCCTTCAATCAATCTAATTATATGTTGGATTCATTCTTGTGATAGCATCCCAACAGAAACATGACAGTATATTGATCTTCATAGTTTACACCAAAAGATGATGATAGTTTAATAAACATTACTATTGTATTCGAAGATTAAATAATGGATAACTTCCGGGAACTATTAATACTGTTATATATATATATATATATATATATATATATATATATATATATATATATATATATATATATATATATATATAATTGTTATCTTCTACTCTATGGTATTTTCAGACTCATTTGCTTGTGTATAAACTGCGTATGTTTGAAATACACTAATCATACAGTGGAGACTAAGATTGCTTGCCGGACTCAACGGGAAGGGCTACGCGAAGACCAATAAGGTTTCAGAGTTGACACAGGGCTGCTAGTGCTATTTGACGTATCATTGGTTTAGAACAAGAATAAGATCATATAAATCGGTATCATGACTGTTAATTCTGTCACGTGATAACTGATAGAGGCAAAAGTTATAACAATTACAAACCAGGAAGCACTGAACAACTATTTTGTCATAGTATGCGACCACTTTAAAATCCATGTGCATTACCCCACCGGGGATTGAACGTAAGATCACTAGGTCTGGTAATGAACGTTCAACCTTTAAATTAGTGAGTTAGTACCCGATAGTTTACATTTCTAATTTCAATCAATTGGCAATTTTTTGAAACTATCTTCAATAGTTGTACAGATGGATAATTTTAAACAAATATCGACATTCTAATTTTCATTCAGTGTTGTGCATTAACCTTATATACACATTAGAACTATCTAAATTAAGCACGATTTAAGCAATTTAATCAAAATGTTATTTAATAACTCATAATAGCCAGAACAATCAATAGGTACCAATCAGAGAAATGAGATTATATTGATTTGTTGGAAAAATATAATATTTATTAGATATTATATTTAAAAAAAGAAAATTTAAAGCGATAATGTAATGTGTAAAGCATTTCGCTTTTACGTAACATGAGCTCACAAGCTCAGATCATGTTTGATTAACTACAGTGGTTGCAATGACCAAGTAATATCTTTAGTGGTCACAAAATATATGTGGTTTAAAATTGAACATACAAACTTATTTTCTTATTACTAAGTATGGTATTTTCAATAACAATCAATCAGTTGTAAGGAGGCGCAGAAGTTGACACATGTTTATTTATTTATATTTATTTGAACACATAAATATTGGTACAAAAGGGTACCGAAGACAAATGCGCCACACAAGTCACTTGATTTGTGTATGGGCTGTGATACTAACAGGGTGCCCAGATCGAAGCAGGTGATTTTTTAAAGAGACAACACTCTAAGCCTTCGACCTAAAGGTCTGATTCACAAGGCAGTGGGGTAACGTCGAGAGATGCAGTCTCATGGTAGCCAGTGACTAACAATAGGTTCATACGCCATTTTATACTAGAGCCCATGTGTAAGATTGGTTTGGAAACAGGGTTCGCCAACTCTCTTAGTTGGATCCTGTGTAACCACTATTTCCCCCCACCGTTGTTGCTATCTTGACGTGGTGGTCGGGTATGGTGATCGGGTTTACCTATCGTGATGAAGCAGCCAAGCTATACTGGCTGGAAAAACCGTTCCTCAAGGTCCTACCATGCCAGACAGGTCGGTTCAAGAGCGATAAGAATAAAAGCAATAAACCCAAGGTCAGAAGGCGAAATCGTACTGCTGACTGTACAGTGGTGTGACAGCAGAAAAGTGTTTCCTCCAAACAACCAGCATAACAGAGATGCTGCCTTCCCAAAACAAGGGGTGGGGTTAGAAAAGGCCGACAAAAAAATGCACACCTCGACTTATCTCACGGATATTCGTCTCCGGTGGTAAGTTCTCAAAAAGTACGGAGCTAACGCAAAAATTACTCACAAAAAGGTCGTGTGTGACCACATATATATACAGAGAGAGAGAAAGAGCTTACCTGCACACTAATACATTTCCACTATCCAATCGGGCCCGATGAATAAAATCATTGGATAATTGAATTTGATTTAGCAAACTATTCTCTATTTTTTCATTGACAATAATATGTAAATATTGACGACTTATTGACTATATTATTTTGAAAGTTACAAAGAAGAAAGGATAGTAAAAAGCAAAATAAAAGGAAGAATATCACATCAAATAGGAAATTATACTTCAAATGAATTGTGAAATAATGAGCTAGACAGTATTTGTAGAGCAGTAACTCAGTGTGTAAGGCCATTCAACTCTTAGCCACAAGGCGACGAGTTCAAAAACCTGCTTCAGTTTGTGCAACTAGGTCGTATCACTCATTAACATGCATACTTATAGTATGACTCGGAGACAAATAAATGAATCCATACCTGGTAAGTGAGTTTAACTAGGTTAGTATTAATCCCTAATAGATAATCATTAACAATCAGAGTAGACTATATTGATTCTTTTTATCCAAAGGATTGTTTTTCTTAACTTTATTTCAGTCTAGACAAATAAGGAGTATCTTATGCTCAGTAATCATACAGTAGGAGTAACTCAAATTCTAGCATACAAATAAACCACTGTTTGGTTATTGATTCGAGCAACTCTGTTGTCTTTTCATTAGAAATCTCAGTGAATTCCTCAAACTTCATGGATGATAGTAAATAATATAATATCAGCGAAAAGAAATCATGATACACTATCAATTGATTTATATTGAGAAAAATAATAGATCGCAGTTTAAACAATTATTTATTATCCATTTATTTGAACACATAAATATTGGTACAAAGGGGCACTGAATACACATGAGCTACACAAGTCACTTGATTTGTGCGTGGGCTGTGATACTTCCTGGGTGCCCAGACCGAAGCAATTACAAAATAATGCCTCTTGATGTTTCAAAATTACGAGTTCTACCTCAAAATAACTATCTGAATTGACAGAGAAATTGTATATTCAATCTTGTTAAAGAGATTAACACAATGGTTATATGACTACAAAGTCAGTTTTTTGATCGGAACTGTTACAAAGTGAATAGTTAATTTTCACAATCATTGAATAGAACACTAAACTATTTAAGATATGCATGATCAATTCCAACGATACTATTTATTTGAAGTGGAATTTATCAGTGATTTATCAGTCTTCACTTCTAATATACTACGATACAAATATACTGAATAGATAAATTTTAAGACATTGTAAATCAAGCTGAAAGGCATAAAATAACTGTTCTCAGTTTCAATATCAAAAATAATTTTTTTTTGATAGTACTCAATATTCACATTATAATACTAGTTAATCAACACAAATTATGATAGCCCCCAAATGCCCTGATACGGTTGAGGGCGGGAAGAGTCAGCTCTCTACCTCAAAATGTTCTTACATTGCTGCTACGCGTATACAATCGCTCCCACAGTAGTCTTACTCACTACCTTCTCGAGGCATTACCGTTGTTTATGAAATTGAGAGAATAAAAACCGAATGTCCGGCGCTTTAACTGGGTTGATGGATATGGAGGATCCACCTAAGGGAATCAATGGCGTGTGAACCCATTGTTAATCACCGACAACCATGGGACTGCATCTCCCGACGTTGCTTCATTGCTTGTGGGTCAGACCTTTAAGTCGAAGGCTCCAGGTGTGGCCTGGGCATCTGGGCAGTATCACAGCCCATACACAAATCAAATGACTTGTGTGGTGCATATGTATTCGGTACTCCTTTATTTATTTATTTATTTATTTGATTTGAACACATATATATTGGTACAGGAGTGCGCCACACAAAACAATGAAAATTTAAGAAGAAAAAAACAATGAGGAACGTAAAAAAAACAATGATGGAGAGATTGGTGTAAGGGAATGTAGTAATAATCATAGTCATAATGAGGGAACGGAAAGGTACAATCAGAAGAAATCTTGCAGTTAAGGAAGAAACAACCACTTTTATGAAGAAAGTAAAAGGTTACAGCAGGATCGCCACTGGCTTCTCTTCTGAGCCATATATGATAACGTCTCTAGCCACTGTGTAGCACCATCTCTCGGACCCCAACTAGGGAGTCGTGAAGGACCAACAGAAGCCAGTCCTTTGCAGTTTTCTTCCATACCACGACACCATGTCATATATTGACCACCCGGTACTCCTTTATACCAATATTAATATGTTCAAATAAATAAATTATCCCAATGATCAAGTAACATAAATCCCTCCTTCTTCTATAATTAGTTATTTGAAACTTTATCATCAAATTATTATCATAATTCATTATATTAATATAATCATACATTTATAATTTGCTTACAAACATGCAATTATATGTAAATATAAAGCTTTAAAAATGAAATCATTAAAAACAAATTAATTCATTAAACTAATTGTCCTACTACTTAATGTATGTATTCAAATGATAACAATACTTTAAAATGGATAGAGCATTTTATAAATATTTCTACTATATAACACATATCTAGGGTTGTTTATCGAATACCTCTAAGCACATATAATTCATCAATGTCTGGATTATCGATTGATCAACTCATGAATAAAATACAATTTATTGAAGGTCAAAGTTTTATTCCAAACTACTAATACTACTACAGAAATTAATCATTTTATAAATGGACAAGTATTGTGTACACATATGTTCCTGGTCCTACGTTGTAACTGACTGATTAACTGATTGTGTGTATTTGTACAAAAAATAAATTTTTTTGAGAAAAATATCAGAGTATACAATTAAGAGACTATTTCACACTATTGTTATAAACAAGAATACTGATAGTAGTATGATCGCAAAATATATAAGTATCCAAAAATTGATCGTTTTGAGATGGTCGAGATTTGTAGCTCAGGTGGATGATTCTGATGTAGTTTTGTTCTCTGAGCTGAATGGTTTGGTAGTGAAGTTTTCATCGTTCTTCTCAAAGACATCATCAGCACAAACTTCAGGTAGAAGTGTTCGGATTTCTCCACATGTGGTTCACAGCTTATCGTGTACACCTCGATGTTGATTGGTTCTTGCTGACGTTAAATACGAACACTTCACTTCTACCTGAATTTTTTGCTGATGTCGTTCAGAAGAACGATGAAAGCTCCACGACCAAACCATCCAGCCCAGAGAACAAAACTCCATCAAAATTGATCATTTACTTCAAAAGCACAAAATTTTTCCTTGGAATGATCATAAACAACAATTGGAAATTTCATGTGTGCTCACTCATAACTTATGTAAAAGTGCATTGATGGAAAGGAGTATATAAATTAATCAGTTATGAACAATCTAGAAGCTGGTACAAATTGGCATCAGTTCAAGTTATTATATTTCAAATTAGGATAACCAAAAGGAAATTAACAGAGGGAAAATCGAAGAAAACGTGATAGTAGTGCTGATACATCAGGCAAGTTAAAAATCGGTCAACTGACAAGTGAACACGATTGGCTAAGAAATAGCTTACATTTACTAAGGGCGAACAAATACATGAATAAATATATAAGACTGTTCAGTTGATCAAATAAACTTCCTTTCTCACTCCATCATTTTGTTTAAAAAGCTGATCGGACTCGTGTATAGGACGACTGCATAGATTCTGTAGGATCGATCACAAACAAAACAATTTAATTACAACACCTTTATGTAGTATTGAACGTTAGTTCAGATATTAGAAGAAAGGATTTCTTTGAGTTAGCACAAGTACCTCATTGATGAGTGCTAACAAATGTAAAATCACATTCAAGAAACTCGACATCAAATACACACAAAAACCAGAGCGAATTAATACCTCAAGTTATTTAAACTAGTAATCACATTTTAAACATTAATGAAAATAACCTGTATTGCCATTAAAGAACATAACGTGACTTTTTGAGTATCCGAGATGCAATTAGTTTTGTTTAGAAAACTAAAGACAATCGTTATTACATTCTACGAATGTCCTTATTATTACATTCTACCCCGACCGAAGCTGCTACCTTGACGCGGTGGTTGGGCTTGCCTATCATGATGACCCAACCGAGCTATATTGGCTGGAACATATGTTCCTGTAGGTTCTACCATGCCAGGCAGGTCGATTGGTGAACGGTAAGACTAAAAGCAGCAACTCAAGGTCTGAGGGCAAAATCGTACTGCTGTAGAGAGGTGTGACAGCAGTAAGGTGTTTCCCTCAGACAACCAGCATGACAGCGATTCTGCCTTCCCACAAGGAGGAGTGGGGTTAGAAAAGGTTGACCCTAAAAATGTCACACCTCATCTTACCTCACGGATTTCCGTCTCCGGCGGTAAGGCCCTTTGAAGAACGGAGCTAACACGTCAAAAACCTTCCACAAAAAGGCCGTGCGCGACCGGCCTCAAGCAGTTGTCCCTTGGGCTCTGCGGTCACGCTCCCAGGTCGTCAAGACCAACACTAATCCAATTTCCTTTTCAGGTTCCTCAAGAAATACCCTTCCACGGTGTGGGCAGCCGGGAAGTGACATCAGCCCTCATACTCGTAACAGCACACGAGACCAAGTTGGTCACATTCAAATCATTCCTACACCTCCTAATACCTCTCTTATCTCCATGACTAACCCTCCTCACGTCTCTTTATCACATCGCACCGCTAGGACAAACGATTCGAGTACGTGGAACGCTATTCCTGGTCTCCTGAAACCACGCTCTAAACTACACGTAGGAACTTTTAACGTACGAACACTTTGCCAAATAGGACAGCAGGCTTCCTTAGCTAAAACTTTAGAATCTCGCGCCATCGATGTGTGCTGCGTCTCCGAAACGCGCATACAAGATCCGAGTAGCGTTATTCATTTGACCTCACCATGCCAAAATAAAGAACCGACTCGATTTACGCTTCGTGTATCTGGAAGCCCTGATTCTGCTTCCCGTGGACTCGCCGGCGTAGGTATAGCATTGAGCCCCAGAGCAGAACTAGCTCTCTTAGAGTGTATCCCAGTAGACAGCCGTTTGTGCGCTGTCCGACTGAACAGAACAGTAAGAATCCGGAAAGATAGGGACACCCGTCGTTGCCTCTTTGTCGTTTCTGCCTATTCTCCCACTGACTGCAGCCCAGATGATGTAAAAGATGAGTTTTACAGAAAGCTTTCCGACCTTCTCCGAAAAGCTAGGCGCTATGATGTAGTAATAGTGGCCGGTGACTTTAATGCTCAAGTAGGTAAACTAAGCGATAGGGAAAGACACCTAGGTGGATCTTATGGTGTCGTGGCTCAAAGAACAGATAATGGCGACTGTCTGTTGCAGCTATGCTCAGATAATCGCCTGTTCCTTGCAAATACTAACTTTAAGCAGAAGGAAAAACATCTTTTAACATGGCGAACCCCTAATTTGTCCCAACGTTGGAACCAAATAGATCACATCGCTTTCAGCCACCGATGAAGGGGCTCGATAGAAGACTGTCACTCATTCTGGACCACTTAGAATGAGCGACAGTTTAAATAAATTAGGTATCGTTAAATCTTACATGAACGTAAACCAGTTCAAAATGGAAGACATTGATGCGGTTTCTGATTCAAAGTGTGTATACATCAACCGCTTTTTAGATACATCTAGCAAATGGGAGACAATCAGCACAAATTCTGAGTGGATGGAAGGTCTTAATATCCAGATTTAAAGATAAAATACCAAAACCTACCCTATGCTGTATCAACCACCAACTAACAATTAAAACCATCTCAAAATACTTACTCTTTCAATATCGTTTTTCGAATTTTGAACAATAATAATATGAGATATGCAATTTGCCATTAATTCTTCTTCATTTTTGGCATTATCGAAACCTCCAACATACAAACCAGGTAATATTTTTGTCATACTACCACCCATTTTCTTCCTGTAATGAAAAAGCTAATCGTTAAATGAATTGAATGGTCAGTCATAAGCAATTTGAAACCTAGGTAAACAATTGGATTATCTCAAGTTCCCACAATATTAACGGAGAGATTAGAAAGATTCATATAACAAAGAATAGTAGAAGTAATGGTATGGAGATGAGTATAAATCATTCACGAAGTACAGATTAGCGTATTCGAAACTTTGAGCTAGTGATACTATTAGGTTACCCAAATCGAACTAAGTGGAGTGAGACTTTAACCTTTGACCTAGCGGTTGGATGACGAACGTATTAACTACTGAGATTCTTAAAAAATTAGTAAATTTCGAGCATGTGATTTTATTGAAATGCACCTAAATCAATAAACCGTGAAATATCACTTAAAGGTTTTAAGTAATTGACCTACTCTCATAACTAAGAAAAAGAAAGCAATCATATAGGCTCCGTTTACATAAAATGATGCCTAGTGAACTGTACGCTGATGACCAACAAGTATGATAAATGGCATTTTGTTGAACATGGTCTGACTGATGATCCAAAACATGATATTAATGTAACTTATTATCGACAATATTTGATAACAAATTTAAAATATAATAAGATATTCAGTAAATACGGTGCGGTAAATACGAGATGTATTTGAAATAGTGACTGACTTTGAGCTACGTCAGTAGTTTCCAATTAATTGGATTCAAAATAGCTTTTCGCATAGACACGCTATATTTTCTTGTAGTCTAATGAAGTCACTTCATCTTCATTTCGAACGGTACATGATACTGAGAATACGTAATGCGATCGTCAACTAAGTCGATAGTAGTATAGCATCACAAACAGATAAACTGATATAAATTTACCTATAACTTCACGATTAACACTTAGACTAATTGCTTAATCGTTTTATCACATTTGGATGTCACCTTGAAAATGATAATAACCAACGCATTTCGTCCATATTGTGATTGTATTTCTCATCAACCTAGACAATTAACCACTGTTAAGCATGTTTATCCCTCAATAAGTCACTGAATATTCTGATCAAGAGAAAAGTGGGAGTCAGGAAACAGATCTAACAGTTCCTGCTTCGGTCTGGGCACCCGAGCAGTACCACAGCCCACACACACGTCAATTGACTTGTGTGGCTCATATGTATTCGGTGCCCCTTTGTACCAATGTGTTCAAATAAATAATATAATATAAAAGCAGTTCCATCGGTAGTTTATTTGAATTTCCCTAGTTTGGTGATGACAACCCTACAAAAGACTTCTATGAAGATTTCCTGTTAGCTTTAAGATAACTGATTCTCGTAAAAAGCATTTTCATTAGCGTGATGCACTGAATCGGCACCTGCTGCACTGAGAATGGCGATTCGAACCCTATATTTTGATTGAAGAACACGACTGACAGTTTCTTGCTTACTATTAGGTATTTAACAGGAAATGATTGTTTTATTTACCATAAAATTCAGAAACTGTTCCGTTCTTCAGTTTTTAGCCTCGGTTTTATGCAGCATGAGTACGTAATCCGGAAGCTATTGTTCAGCTTAACTCTGTTATTACCACAGAAGATAAGGAACAACTGATCTCATGAAAACGAAACAGTAAGTGCTTTAGGCTTAAATGCAACTCGCAGACTTGCTATCAATCATATAACCCGAAATTTTAGTAACAATTTTCGTACAAAAAACCGTATGATATTGTGAACACCAGGTTATGTTAGCGATCCGAATTCCCGAAAGAAGTAACCATGAGTTATCTTACGTTAAGTATTACCCTAAATTGTAGTCTATTGACTTTATTTCTAGGATAGTACAATAAAACGACGAAGATTTTTACTTAATTACACTGCTGCTTGCCCTGATTTTAGTCCGAGTAGAATGAGAGCAGAATATAAAGAATAATAATCGGTTTAACAAACTGACAGAATAGCTTAATGAAGACATTGTCGAATAACTCATTAGAAATGGAAAACGTGATTGATGATTACGAAGTAACTGAAACTATGAGCGGAACCTGGAAGTAGTGTGAGTGGTGGTCATAATACCACGTATTCTGTAAATCTTCGATTTGTACATACCCATTTACTCTCCTTTAAAAGTAATAACTTTTTTGTCACTTTAGAAATTCGTTAGTGTTTAATTTTTTTATCGCCATTAACACTAGTACACACGGATTCCTAAGAGTTAAGAAGCTGACGATACCACACAAATAATTATGCAAATGCGACATGGCCAAACAACCTGCTAAACTTCCTGCAACTGAGAAACGCAACGCTCAAACTATCGCATTTCAATAAACAATCCAACAACCAATGTAACTACTACGATTTTCATGTACGTGTATTTCTCAAGTGTAATTCTTCTGATAATTGCGTCAACAGTTTTTCATAGAAATAAAGTGAAGATTTCACAGTAAAACTACTAATTTGAATAGTTCCGATTGCCCTGGACGGAATAGAAGAAGCTTTCTCATAACGGGCTTCCGTGTCTAGTAGCAGTGGATCGCCGATGCCTCCAGGTAAGAACCTAGGTATATTAACGATAAAGGAAGAAAAAGAAAAATATGTCCGTAAGTCACATTAAGGTTCTAGCATTAGTCCTTAATAAGCCGTTTTCTCCTGGGAAGTCGTTTGAACTAGCTCAGCCGACAGCAAATTCCAGCATACGACAACCCTTAGGAAGAAGAGTTTGTGTCTACGGTTCATTCTTCTGTGTTGTATCTCAAGTTCCTGGGTGTAACCTCTTAGTTTTGTGTTGGAGCGGAACCTGAGTAGGTGTTTAAGCGGGATGTTAGGAAGTGTAAAGGATACTGTAAGCCATTAGATCATCTCTAAGATGCCTGTTCTCTAACGAGAGAAGGTTAAGTGATTAGAGGCGCTCTTCATAAGCCTTGAATTTCAGTCTCCGAACTGATTTCGCGGCATGCCTTTGGATACGCTCCAGGGTGTCCTTATCCTTTTGGAGTGAGAGGGAAAATACTATGTTTCCGTACTCTAAATGGGGACGGATAAAACTGTTGAAGATTATGTGGAAAGTTTTTCCTTCAAATTGGTAAAAAATGCGTTCCAATGTTAACAGTGCAAAGTTTGCTCGAATGGCATTTTTGTCACAGTTAGCGTAAGACTTTAAATCGTAGGGCACTAGGACTCCTAAATCTTTTTCGACTTAGGATACTACTAGTGTGGACTACTTTACACTTTGAAGTGTTAAAGGTAAGTCCGTTATCGTCTGTCCAACTTTGAAGTCCAGTCAGATCCTCCTGAATTGCCTGTATATCGTCTTGGTTGCGTATCTCTCTCCAAAGTATCACATCGTCGGCAAAAGGTAATACGTCTACGTAACCTATCGAGGAAGATCATTTATGTAGATCAAGAAGAGAAGAGGGTCCTACCACTGAGCCCTGAGGGACCCCACTAGGACATTCCATAGCCTGAGAGAAAGTGAAGTTAACCCTGACCTTAAAATGTCGATTTTTCAGATATGAACTAAGCCAATCGATTAGAGGTGATCTGATACCAAATCGTTTGAGCTTATTGATAAGACATGTATGGTTAATCTTATCAAAAGCTTTTGAGAAATCCAGGTAGATGATGTCAACCTTGCCCTTGCGACCAAGGATGCTTGTCCACCGCAGTCAGCAGGTTGGTTATACAAGAGTAGCCCTTCCTGAAACCATGATGTTGGGGTAAGAAGAAATTTAAGGACAGCAAATAGTCATTTATACCATCGCATATCAGTTACTCTATGATTTTTGAGGGTTTGGGGAGAAGAGCCACCTGTCGGTAACTTGAAGGTTCGCTGCGTCAACCTCCTTTGAAAATTGGTGTGATGTGAGCCAGCCTCCAATTTTCCGGTAGTTTTCCTCGACTTGGCGAGTGTGAGAACATCACGCTAAGCGGCGTTGTCAAGATTGAGGCTGCTTCCTTCAGTATGGCGGAATGGACCACGTCCGGGCCAGGAGAAGTGTCTAATCTAAAGTGCTGAAGTTTCCGGAACACCAAGTCAGCGTTTAGGTTCACTTCGGAAAGTCTTGTGGAATTGTAAATGATACTTTCATCAGTAAAGTTAATGTCGGTCGGTTGAAATGTCTGGAAGTAGTGTTCATCCAGAAGGTTAGCGGCATCGCCATCGTTGTTGATCGGGCCAGTTGGGAAACTCCAGTTTTGGCTTGACGAAGAGAGGCTGCATAATGGAATAAGGTTTTGGGATTAGAGGCAAATTTGCCCATAAGCTTTGTCTGGTACTGAAGTCTATGTTCTTTTATAGCCCTCGTGCATATGTTCCTTATCAGTTTATATTGCCTGTACGCTCCGTCGTTGTCAGTTCGTTTGTATTTCGCCTAACAGTGCCTTTTGCGGCTCATCAGGCGAAGGGTACGGTTTTTGATTATTGTAGGTGGCTTGCAACTATTAGGAACCGTTTGAAGAACTGAATGGTTTGTAGCACATAAGAGAGTGTGCAGTAAGAAGTCCCAATGCCCGTCCACGTCGAGTTGGGGATGAACATCCCAAACCACCTGTTGTAGATAGTCGTGTAGAGCTGGCATGTTCAACCGTTTAAAATTCCAACGCAAGTTGTTGGTGGGATAGCTTAGCTTAGTTTTGCTGACAAAACTTAAGACTATGATGGCATGATCGCTTTTCCCCAGGAGAGCCAGGATTGAGAGGTTGTCAACTAGAAATTCTTCGTTTGTAAATACACAGTCTAAGCGCAATGGTGTCTGGCTGTTTCTCCAACGAGTTGTCGACCTCACATTTTCGTACAATCCCAAGTCATCGATGAGGTTGAAGAACCGAGCTTCAATTGAGTTGTCGCCTCCAGTATACGTGTGTTCCGCGAAGTTGACTCTAGGCAGATTAAAGTCCCCTAGAATCAGGATGTGTGTGAAACCGAGACGAGTAGATCGGGATAGTCCTTCCATCATACGACTATCGTACTCGATGTCAGCAGTTGACTTCCTGTAAATGACACCGACTAGACACCTCGAAGTGCTAGACAATCTTACAGAGCACCATATGGATTCCTCAAGATTGTTAAACTCGAGGTTATGAACTTGATGCACCTCCAAGCAAGAAAGTATGTAAACAGCTACTCCGCCCCCATATCCTGATTTTCTGTCATTGCGGAACAAAGACATCCCAGGTAATGCTAACTCGTGGTTCGAGAATTGAGAAGATATCCAGGTCTCAGATATTCCTATCAGATGGGCTTTATTAGCATTGCTAAGTTCACGTAGTTTATCGAATTTGTTTGGTAGACTCGCAGCGTTCATATATGAGCAGTTTATGCTTTCATTTTGAAACGCGTGAGCTTCTTGTTTGTTTGTATGAACCTTACGTGGATGGACAAGTAACCCACCTATATTATGTTTGCCGAAGTGGTAGGCCCTGTCTTTTACACGTTTTTTATCGTCTAGACAGTCCACAAGTGGAATGATCAGTTCCAACTTGCCTTTGTGTTACGGAATGTGTAGCAGACAGTCTTATGATTATTCATATTAAGGGAGTCATAAAAAAATAAACAATAGGGAGAAGTGGTTTTGAGAAAAAGATTTAAATGAATGGTGTTAGACCAATATATTATGCTACAAAACGAGGCAAGATGTTGAGGAAGTTCAAGTAAATACGACTTTACTCTTAGAGAGCAGATGTTTGGCATGATCTACCCCGTTGCCCCAGTGATAGAACGATTATGGCAATATATGTATACAAAACTCAGGCTTTCTCTTAAAGAACATTTCTGATACGGCTCTGGTCACGCTGACAGAAGTGCTCAAATTTTCATAAGTACCTTAAGTTAAGACAGATTTACACGTAGCACCTCTGCAATAGGTGTATACCGACCCAATCAAATGAGAAGTCGAAAATGAAGGGTACCGAAGATATATTGGGAAAGCTATCAATACTTGCTTGGCTAGCAGTTGCAAGGGATATGTATCACTGCGTATGCGTATGTGTGACCGAGCGCCTTCAGCTGGAGTATATTCAGCAAAACTGCTGAAGTTCGCATCAATGTAGAAGACATACGGAACTATTTATTTTAAGGATGTCCTTGTCGCTACGTGATAATAGCTGCCTGAAATACTAGCGAATTATATCTAAAATTAGTCAGTGGTAAATATAATGAAATATCACAATCACATAGTTGATTCAAAAATCTGGTTTAAGGTAAAATCTGAAAGACAAGCGTAAAGAAAATTTGTCATATTACATGGACTGCTTGTTAACTTTCCATCCTGTTTCGCACTAATTTGTAACTAGGCCTTACTTTTCCTTTGCTACCATCTGGTTAATCCACGGAATGTTATCATCTTGGATAATTTTCGAAGTGAGTGCGTGTAAAGAAATAATAAAAATGCTCCAACCAGCTTTTCACCACGCAGATCCAAAACAGTCAAAAAAGTGATCAGCGTTCCATGTGACCAATAATTTCGTTGTTTTCCGGTCCCATTTTAATGACCATATGAAAGTGTCTTAAGCAGTCTTGTCTGGATCGTCTTCATACAAACTTACATTGTTGCTGATTGAATGCAACACAAATTCTGTGTTGGTTAGGCCATGGATAGCTGTGTATTTCCAGTTGAATAAACTCATCATATTGTTGTAAACGAACAGTCAACTGCAGGTGACCAATCTGTTGTTAAACCCAGGATACAGAGTTCTTTGTTAAAATGTAAAAACTATACATTAAATACTTCATTGAAAAATTTTCCATCAAAATGTTTCAACTTTTGTTGTTTCTTCATCGTCTTTACATTCACACATTGTTTGCACATCCGTTTTTTCAATTCGACCTTCACAACCTTCTGCTGCCAGGCACTCTACATCTAAATGCTGCTACATACTACTAATGTCGACAGACATAAGTAACGTACACCACAACATGTCTGTATATTAAAAAATGTTCAAGCAGATAGCTGAAAATTGAGCAATTTGTCAATTATCGTTAAAGTCAAGGACAATCACCACATACCAATGGATTGCACGCTATAATTAGGCGCACGCATCATTGGCTCCTCCTTCCACACCTGCCAGCTGTTAATACTTGTTGTTGACTATCGAGATTATTTATTTTTGACAGTCACCTGATCACAAAAATAGCATAATCCAGGTTAAACACCAATCGCGAGGCGTGACTCAAACGTAAACCACGTCACACCAAACCCACCTAAATTGACCATACACATAAATTACCTACACTGGTTATCTGCAACACCATCTATATACATACTCTAGATAAATTATGTAGCAAGTTAGTTATCCTTAATGGTAATCACTACTGATACCAGTAAC